AAAAAAAAAAGGAAAATAGGAAAAAGTTTAAATAAATTTTTCTTTTGTTTTATAAAAATTTTAAAATTTCTTATTGAAAGAAAAAAAAGCATTATGAAATAGATAAAATTGTTTACAAAAAATAAAAATTACACAATGTTTCTGGACAATAATCACCATAACCAACAGTTGTCATCGTAACGATACACCTAAAAATTATAATTAAAATCATTTCATGATTTATTATGCAATCCATTATTTTATATTAGCGTTTAATGATTCGATCATCGAAACTAATCACATCATTACAATATATGAATGAATTCGAATAGCAGTGAAGAAAATATTTTAAGAAAAAAAAAATTTAATTAAGAAGTTTTTAATTAGTGAAATTAAATTATCAAATTAGATTAAACAGAATTCATCATGAATCTTCATTAACAACTATAATTATTGATTTCATTTAAGTGCAAATATTTGATTAACTGATTGATTGATTATATCATAATGTTTGATCAACAATATTGTGTTTTAATTAAATAATTCTAATTAAGTTTTGAAGAAAAAGCTAATTCAAAAAATTCAATAATAAAAATATTACCACCATCCAGCATGTGGAATTGATTTAAATTTTGTGTTTGGTTCATCACGTTCAGCAAAATACATTAACGTTGAAAAGAAGATTACTGTTGTCAGTAAAAATAATATAAGCATTGATAGTTCCGGAAGACTGCAAAAATTTTGATGTAATTAAAAAATAGAAAATTAATAGATTTCATGTATTTAAATATTTGGAAATTTATTTTATCATTATCATCATTATCATGATTGTTGCATTATGATGATCGATGATGATGATGATGATGACGACGATGATGATGATGATGATGATTGATGATGATGATGTTGATGATAAAGATAAGATGAATTTCCTACTTCAAATATTCACTTACCTGGTCTTAACAGTAATGCCAAATGATTTCAGGCCACTGGAGTAACGTGCAAGTTTGAATATTCGTGCTACTCGCATTATACGTACCACACGCATAACCGTTGCTAGGCCACGAAAATCACCAAATTTATGTGCTCCAAAGCCTAAATAAAATTGTAGTAATAATTTAGCCCTTATCATCTCATGCAATTACTGAAGAGAATTATACTGCTTTTCATAGATATGTTTAAAACGGAAGAGAGTTTCTCTTGGCTGTTGTTAATCTTTGCTTTCCTTGGCTCATTTATCAAAGATATATTTATGACCTCATTTATTAAATCAAATGAATTTTCGGTTTAATAATAAACCAAAGATTCCGAAATTATCAAAAATTAGAATATAGAAGAAAATTTAGAGATGAAATTATTAAATATACTAGTTCAACTTTTAACTTCTTATAAGAAGTACCACTGCACAAGATAAAGGAAATGGTATGGAAGAAGGATGTTTTAAAAGTCAAACAGAAAAAATGAAAACTTTTAGAGAGGTGCGCAAATGTCTCTGGTTAGATGGGAAACATTAGGTTCATTAGGAAAGCAATTAAAACAAACAGTGAGGAAAGAAAATGTCATATGACAGAATTGCATTTTGGAGAGATTATAATGAATCATTTCAATTGCATACGTTCGTATTCGTCTGAATCAGTTTGATCAGAAAGAATCAGGTCATGCTGTTTCAGATGCATACAAACCGGAATACCGGTTCATTAGGGAAGCGTTATGTTAATCAAATAATACTGATGTTATTTTGGAATATATTGATGAGTGAAAAAGTAATAAAATGTTATTTTAAATTTAAAAACGATTATAAGGTAAGGAAGAGATCTGAGAGATTAGGAAATGATTAGCGAAATAGCAGTCGTTAAAAAAGAGGTGAGACGATATATCATGATGTCATAAAAATTGAAAAAAAAAATTAGATTAAAATATTTCAAATTTTGTGAAGACATTGATAGGTATACAAAAATTCTCAAAATAATTAATTTTTGAATTTAAATATTGACAAAATTTTTTCATATCATAAAATTAAAACAATTAATTCATTACAGTAATACCTGAAAAATCTATAACATAATATATATATATAAACACAAAATAAAAGGGCTAAGTAAGAGGATAATTTAACCAAACTTCTTCAATAATTTAAAGATTATTGACTAACCAACAAATGATCAGATAAATGAATAATTTTAATTAAAAATATATCTATACTTATTTAATTCAATTACTTTATTCTTCGAATGAATCTTACAGTATTCCTAATTAACTTTGTGTCTATTTTTTTTTCTTTTGATCAAAGTTAAAATATTACAACAAAACATACCTCATTTTGGTAAGTGTTTGTTATTAGCAATCATTGGTCAATGTTTTATTTATCAACAATCATTGATGGTTAATATTTGTTATCAGCCAATAATAAGAAGATTAATTTAATTATTTTATAGAATAATTTCCGATTAAATAATTAATTGATTCTCAGAATGATCAACAACAATGAGGGGAGGCGGCAAAAAAATCAAAATATATGCGCAAAAAATAAAATAATTCGAGAAATTAAAAAAAAANAAAAAAACAAAGGCGGAATTTTGACACACTTTGTGGTATCATTGACAGTCTTTTCAAATATTCAGAAATGAAGTGATTATTTTTTCTTTTTTCTTCAATATAGAATGAACTTAAGCTTACAAAAGATGTTTCGGACAAAAAGTTTATTCCATTGCTTTGATAGTTCCAATCAATATTGCTATACTTATGCACTACACTTGCTTATGTTATATCATTATGCGATTTCACGGAATTACTGTATAAGTATTGTACTGTACCGAGATTATTTTATTAGTTGAATTAGTGAAAATTTCTATACTTATTAGTATGTTTACAACAGACTGATACAGTAAGATGGATATGATAGTAATGTGTTGTTGTAAATTAAAATTATTCCTAATCATAATATCACATCATGCATATCATTGTCCCTATTATCAGCACTATCAATAAATTAATATTATTGTCATAAACCTTAGGATTCTAACTGAATGATACGATTACTAGAATATAATTAAAATTAATTGATTATTTCAATATTACTATTAGTTATATATAAATTTTTCTTCCGTAAAATTTCCTATATTAATAAACAAATTCCAGAATGTTTTTGTTCAAACTAGAAAGAATTAGTTCAGAACATTTCATCTAGTAAATTCTTTAGTTTAATTTATTTTACTCAAAAATTTTTAGGGTAATGGTTCTCAATTAATGGCTTGCAATAATAAAATTTAAATTGCAAAAATTATTAAAAATTTAGGTCTTTGCTTTTTTATATTAAAATTAAAAATTTAAGCCTTTGCTTTTTTATATTAAAATGAATCAATGTAAGTTTAACAAATTCGTTAAAACTTTTGATTGAAAGTCTTTTTTTTTCAAATTAAAAGGATTTATTATTTTTGTACTTTGAAAGTTAAAAAAAAAGCCAAAATGGTTTTTGGTGAAGAAAAAGAACTTAAATCACTAATTTAGTGGAACAAATAAATTAAATAAAACAATATGATTGGATAATACTTCAAGATTTTTTTTTTGAAGTGCTGCATGTACCGTATCCAGAATATGACATTGCCACCAGTAATAAGCCATATATCATAAAAATTACCAAATAATCTTGATAAAAAAAACAATGACAGTTGTAGGAAGTAGAAATATTTGAAATTTTCTAATTTTAAATATTTTTTACTATTAAAATTTGTAAATTTAAGATTGAAAAAGTCAAAGTATTACCACAAATTGAAAGTAAAATTTCCACATAAAAGGGTATGATTGTTAAACTATCAATGATATTCAATGGTTCTAATAAAAATTTTCCTTTTCTTGTACAAACAATAAATCGAGCAAAATATTCAAATGTAAACCATATTATACAAGTCTGAAAATAAATTTAAAATTGTAATTATAATTAAAATTTCAATTAGACATTAATTTTATAGCTATCCGTTAATGAATTAGACAAGAAGATTGCTCAAGTTTTTTTTTCTTATGTGACATTTTTGGTGAACAAAATTTGTCATCAAAATGTTAGTCACAACTTTAGAAACTTCAATGTAGTAGAATTTATCAATGCATGATTCGATTTATCAATGCATGATTCGATTTATCAATGCATGGTTCGATTTATCATTTCCTTTTGCAAGCAGTGACTTTACCGAATCCTTATCATGTAGAAGTTATTTTCCGGTAAAACTAAAGCTATTAGCCAGGCAAACAAAATGAGTTCCATTAGTTTTTTTTTTGGTTTAAACAATTATTCACTCATTATTTTGCTATTAAAATAAGTATATATTTGCGAAAAATTATACATATAACATACCAATTCAACAAATTCCAACGTAGAATGAAATCGAAAATCAATTTTATCTCCTGTTAAACTTGTATTACTAATGGTACCTTGCCATTCTGGTGTTGAACCAAGTATCATACCAGTTACTGATACTATCACCATCATTATGCTTATCAGTGCAAAAATCTAGAAACATTATAAGTGTAAATAATGATGAAATAATATATTTACATCAATCTCTTGCATTCATATTTCATTTTTAATTCTTGAACTTCAATTTTAATTAATTAGAATTCAGTTGAACAGCAAATCTTTGCTTATATTATTTCATTAATCATGGAGAATTTATCAGAAAGTTTGGTTTTCTTACGGAAATTGAAGGTTCAAAAGATCTGTGGGAAGTAATTTTAATTAAAAACAATTTCGGGATGCATGCAAATTTCTAAAATATTAAAACGTGATTAAAGCTTAAGAAAATAAAAATGGCAATTAAAGTGAAGCTAGAAAAAAATAGCATAACTTTTTCATTTGTTTCAGAGTATGTTTAAAATAGAACAGAAAACGTATAACCTTAGCTGCGGTACTTGTCCCGGGATCTTCCATTAGAAGCCATAATTTACGTCGTTGATAGTTCCAACAGACTCCATCAAATTGATCATCTTTAATGAAATTGAGAAATTATTGAAGCTTTATGCTAACTTTTTTGCTAGCGTTTACAAAAATTTTAGTCTAATTTTCACAAAATTTACTTATATTTTGAGAAGCAAAAAATTTAAATAATTAATTAAACTAGACAAGTAATATATCAAATTATTCGAGAATTTTATTTTGGATCATACTCGTTTTGATTTTTATTAAAATAATTTCAGGTTTTTTTTTTGGAAATAATTAAATACCAAGAGATCTTTAATCATTAATAAACGAACCATAAGTAAGAGAATCTTTGCAACCATATGCAAGGGAAGTTTTATTCAGTAATTCATCATCTTCACTTTCAACAATCTTCATACAACATGGAGCAAAAAAAATCCCTGAATAATAAATTGTATTATTATTTATCAAACAATGATGGTATTACTACTTCTAATTGAAAGTAGACTGAAAAAAAAAGCTTCTGCGGAAGTAATTTAATTTTTAATTAAAGTAACTCAAAATCATTCCCCATAAATGCACTGGTCACTCCACATAAATGCACTGGTCAGTTGTTTGGGTCATTTACTACTTTTGGCTATTCATTTTTATTGTATCGCAATTTAGAAAAGTATTAGCAAAAAAGTGTTCGCCATTACAAAATTCCTAAGCATTTCTAATCAATAAGCATTGGATTGATATTGACTAATATAAAAATTAATTAAAATTATCACATATAAAATCTCATAATTTAGAATAAAATGAAAATTCCAATACTATTGATGTTTACAAAAAAAAAAAAAATCTAATAAGTAAAAATAAATTTTACTAACTTTTCAATCCGCCAGAAATCTAATTCTGTAAAAAGTCTTTCACAACAGATATCACTGGTTCGATGAAAATGTCCAGTTATTAAAAAATCATAAATTGGCTCAAATAATTTTGCTGAACGTTCGAAAAAATATTCTCTTGTATCAGATAAATAACCATTACAATTTTCCACTCGTGCTGCATGTGTTTCACGACAAAATTCAGCTAATAAAGATGTTGGACAACGATACTGCAAAATATTATCACCAGTGATTAATTGAGGAATCTATTAATTAGCATATTGCAAAATAGGTAAATGTTTTTATCACCAGTGATTAATTGAGGAATCTATTAATTAGCATATTGCAAAATAGGTAAATGTTTTTATCACCAGTGATTAATTGAGGAATCTATTAATTAGCATATTGCAAAATAGGTAAATGTTTTTATCACCAGTGATTAATTGAGGAATCTATTAATTGGCATATTTTATCAACAAATATTATTGATTTGAAT